GGGCATGGCCGCTCTCAAGTTTCGTTGAACCACCCGACCGGTGCGGACGCGTTTCGGTTCGGGTGTTCGTTTTTTGTATATTTTTGAGAAAGTGTTGCCGACTTTGACCGTGCCTCGAATTTCCTTACTGATGTGTGTCCGCGTTTGGCTCGGCTCGTTCGTCCGTCCGGACGCGCGTTAAAGTGGCGTGACGACGTTGCAATCGCAGGCGCCCGGTGTTCGTTCGGGTTTCGCCATTTTTCGCGGGCATTGCATCATTCTTCGTTTACATATTACGACTTTATTTCGTTTACACATTACGATTTTTCGTTACTGGCCTTGACGATTGCCGTTGGATCGGCTACCCGGCCAATTATAATCGACAAGAAGAAGAAGATGGCCGCTCTCATGCTTCTCTCTGATGAAAGGACAATTTCATGCGATACCTCGATCGACTAGATCCAACTCGATCTGAAGAGCTGCTCACGCTGTTCACACAGAAGTACCAACCTCAATTATATTCGCGCCAAAAATACAAATTTTCTCTCTCTCTACATAAATTAAAAAAATTTTTTAATTCTTAAATTTCTACTTACATAAAATATTAAATTATGTAATAATTTAAAAATAATATTTAATCATTAAACAAATATACAATTTATAAATATATTTTATTTCGTTCAGGATACAAATCATTATTGTAAATCTTTAGTAATTTGTAACCTCTAAGATTGCTTATCCTTCAATCTTTGGTGATTCGATTTGTCTTCCGCTGTTCTATCGTTGGCACGAGCGTCATTGTGCAGATACATATAATAGTATAACATCCAACAATAAGTTATACCAATGGCACAGTATATAGAAGTAAACGCTAATGGTAAGAATGGCAGTTTGTCGCCGAACAACAATTTATGTAGTAGCACTTCGTAGACCGTAACTAGAGGTAATGGTATTACATACAGCCATTCATGTAATCGTAACAGAAACTTGCCGTGGTGATTAGTCAAGATTAAAATCGATGAAAGCATATACGCCAGTAACAACAATAACTTCAAAGAAGACAAGTTATCAGGATATAGCAATGGCAAGAGAGCAGTTTGTCCAGCACTGCTTAAAATAATGAATATCCGTGCATCATCCGCATATAGCGCTGCTAAGACACTAAATTATTATAAAACATATATATATATATATTATTATATTATATTTTTAATTCTAAATAAATAAATGTTTCGTAAAGTAATAAAACAGTAACTTTTATATGATGCGTTTAATATACTGACTATATAATAGAATCTGGCCATGAAATAACAAATTTTTGAACTTTTGAAATTTGAACGAAATATATGTATACAAAAAATTGTGTGTGTGTGTGTGTGTGTGTGTGTGTGTGAACTTACCACAAAGGGATGATTGCGGTTAATATAGCTTTCTCATGAACATGCCAGCCAAACATGAACGAACTTAAAGCACATAGTACAATGCACCTAATAAAATCTTTCGAGTTTATGTAGGGCTTCTTATATAGCAAACACCATAATGCAGGCTGAAATAATTATATTAATTGTTTAATCAATTCGTGTATAAATAAAGAATATAACAAAAAAAAATAGTAAAATATATTTAATGCAGAAAAACAATTAATTCACTATATGCTACATGGATAAACTTACAAGCATTGTCGCAAAAGTCAGAAGAAATGTAATGATAGGAGTTGGAGTGGGTAATATGAGGAAGTTCTGTTCTTGCACCAAGCCACCTGTCATGACTGCAGATTTAACATCTTTTAACCATCTCAAGCGTTTCCATATCACAGATAGCACTTTTTCTGTACCAATATATAGGGCCCAACCATTCGCAGCCCAGTATGAATGCACCAGGCCTCTTTTAAAAGGAAATAAACGGGAAATTACCTAATAAAAATACATACATACATATATATATATAAATTATAATATATATATATAATGTAATCTGTAATTATATAAATATTACCTGTGATAATTGAGTTCTGAATGGACCAAAGGACACTGCTAAAATAGTCAGAACGATAAGTCCAAGACTAAATAATCGCCTGAAGAACTTTCTACTATTCAGACAGTGTGATTTCAGTAGCCAAACAGTGTATGCTGGTGCCACATATACATATAAATGTTTTAGATTAAGTAAAATAGAAAACCACATAGCACCGCCATGTACAGCGCAAACCGACATCTAGAAACAAACTGCTTCTTACTATAGGTAACTTCTACAGTATATTACAAGATTTACCTCTTTGCCAGTCTTCGAAACATTTGCTATTGACATCAACAGAATTCCAAGTAACAAACCGTTGTATTGGAAATGTATATGATCGACTATCAATAGTCCTATATTGCACAATGACAGAAATACAAAAACTACGTGATTGTTCAAAGACTTGCAAAATGTCTTACTCATTCTACAAAAAAAAATACTTATTAAAATTTTATATCGCACAAAAGTTTCTACAGTATATAGATATATATATATAGGGGATAGACAAAATAATGACTATCTGAAAAATATATTGTTACATTAATTACCATATAAAATCTCCATATAAAAGTTGTTAATATAATTAAATGAATTTTGTACTTACTCTCTTACTCCATAAGCAAATATCAGATCAGCAAATATAACGGTGCCTCTCTGGAAATATATAGTAGCTGGTGAGGCATAATTCAAATTTTCCACTTTGAGCATTTCCGGATCAAAAAATGCAGCTACTTGACTGAGGCAGTACTCAAACCACGCAAATAGAGGTGGATAATCAAGAGTCCAAGGCGATTGTGAGTTCACATACCATTCCGTAACAGGTAGACTATATGTGATGGCCAGCCAATTGCGATGTACCTCAAAATCAGTAGAGTGGCTGCAAATAGTAAATGTAAACTTTCAATATAAGTAAAACATCTTGCCACAAATGAATCAGCAAAGGGATTATTCAAGTTTGTTTACTAAGTAGGAATCAGGAGAATCTTAATACAAGTGATCAGAAGAAAGATCTTCAAAAGTACATTGTCCGTCTTCCAAAGAATAGAGGAAGAGGATGAGAAGGAAGAAACATCCTTTTCATTCCGCTTCACTTGAGCTTCTGTTGACATATTTTTCTCTTCAGTAGACATGTTAATTTTAAGAGAGTAGATATGATAACCACTATCTAGATATAACTTTCTTTAAAACTGCTCTGAAAAAAGAAAAGAAAATAAAAGGTATATTACCCAGAAATTTTTAAATTCATTATTTTCTTCTATTTCATAAAAATAATGTAAATTTAATATAAAATTAAATTTAATGTAATTAAATTTAATATACATATATTAATAAAAAATATAAATATAAAATTTTATATAAAATTAATAGTTTTTGAGTGTTTTAGATTGCCTATTAAATTGCGTGTCTTTATGGTTATGTCATATGGTAAGCATCATCTACGACCTACGTAAACAATCTACTTACCTAAAGTTCAACTCAACTTACACATTTTTCTATTTATTAGCATCAATCGCGATAATTCTGGATGCATTCTGCACATCTACAACTATAACAAGCCTCAGGTAATAAACATTCGGCGAAAATATTGCCAACGATGCCAACGCGAGCATATACAGCAAGGTTACAAATTACGACGCATGGCATATGGCGCGTGACAATTTTAGGTTAAGTTCCCCAGAGAATCAGTCAGACTCAGACCCGTACTGAACTACCGAACTATGATAGTTCCCGAATTACCGTCGGCTCTACACAAAGCCGTGCATCTCGCTCAGAGCTTCAGTCGGTGTCGCGTGATACGTGATATTTGGAAGTCCAATCAGTATCGAACGTTCAGCAGAAGGCCGGAGCAGATGATTGACAACAACGGCATCAAAAAGCCACGGCCAAAGACAGTCCCGATTCCAAAGATCACGCTTTTATCACCAGACAACTTGACCACTGTAACCATACTGGAAGTGGCCCAGCGTCTGGCCAAACGGCGCAATCTTACCCTCATTAAGGTCAGTGATCTTGAGAGCAAGACTCAGCGACCGCTCTATAAGTTGGTGGACAATACCGGCATCCTCGAACACTTCGAGAAGACCGAGGAGTCTAAGACGGATACCAAGAATGACCACAATGACGCGCAAAAGTCAAGCAAGGGCATTAAAATATTTTACATATCTGCGAAGATCACTGATCATGACCTACAGACGAAGACGAAGAACATGGTGAAATTGTTGAACAAGGAGCACAAAGTCAAAATCGCCATTACTTTGAACGATTCCGACGGGGTGAGTTCTATGATTCTTTCCTTTGCTTCTTATACAACTAATCAGCAAAAAGAAATTATTATATATATCAAGAGAATTATTAGATAGAAATGCATAAAGAATTTTATTGTATTAAAACCTGTAAAAGCTAATACCAGTTGTTTATATGCACAATAAAGTCTTTATTACATATTATTCAAAAACAATTAATTTAATTTAATTGCTTTAGAATAATATATAATAAATTAATTTGTTTTTTTTTAATGTGGTATGTAGTAAAAAAATGATATGTAGTATTTCACATATATAAATACACAAATAAATGGTGTTAGTTTTTATAGGCATTTACATTTAGTTGATTTATTTTCTCTGTGAGCCTTTTCCTCCTATTGATATTTAAAAATTATCAGTTGTTTAATTAGTAATTATATCTTTGTAATTTGGTAAAAATTTTCTCAGAATTTTTTACATAATTTGTTCACATAATCAGAATAATGTAAATTTGAAAACTCTTTAGAATTTCTGAATAATTTCTCAGATTTTTTAAATACAAATTGTAATACTTTTCAAAAGTTTTGCGACTCATATATCTTTTCTAGAATTCTTTATATGTATAAATTCTAAAATATTCCAAGATATTATTTTATAATTTCTGATGAAATCTTATAAAATCTGAAAAAAATTTAAAGCATTTTTTTTTTTATTATGGAATGAGTGTTCCAATTTATATAAAAATTTTGGATAAAATTTTCATCAAGATTGATAAATAATGACTTTTTAGGTAATTATTGTTAAGCATAATATTTTAAACATACACTATTGAAATAAAAAATCTTTTGTGAAAAATATAATTATTTAATTACATACAGGTTCTTTTTATTTAATTTATAGGGTAAGGTGCGAAGAGTCATAGAGGATGCTGTAAAAAATAATGGCAGTATCCAGCAAATGCCATCAAAGAAGAATGTAATCTTACTCTTAATAAGTCCTTTACATAAGAATGAAGATGTTTCTGTAAATAATAAAAATGAGACTGATAATTCCAGTATAGTTAATAATGAAAAAGGTACGTGAGATTTGTTGAATGCTATAAATATAGACAGATGAAATTAGAATTTATCATTGTTGATACTACAAGAAAAATTAATCCTTCGTGTAATTAAATGAACGTAATAATGTGTGTACATATTTATGTATATGTATACATAATGAATATACTTATATATGATTATATTTATTTTGAATATATTATAACGGTTTTACAAAAGAATAACAGATAAATAGCTTTTGTTTTGTACCATATCTACGATTTCATTATTGTCAATGAAGAGAATTCCATGTTAATAAATCTTCCCGTTTTACACGTTAAACAAACAACTTACTATCTATCGAACTACTGATATGTCTATAGGTCTGTTTTTATTTCTGTACTAGATTGCATTTGAACTCTGTTTCTCGCTTTCGATAAAATATCAATATATCTATCTCACTTTAAGTTCCCAAGGTGTACTAGTTCAGTCACAAAAAACAGACCCAAAGTCGCATTTTACAATAGTATTTTAAAATATCGTGGTTCTCAGTTTTCAACTGAAGCTGTTATACAAACTTTGGTCTTACAATGAGATCTGTAATACATGATAAATGCTACAAATGTGACGACACGCGTATAAATAAATGTCATTACGAGTGGTCTCCTTAGCATTTTACTTCTCGTACTAGAAAGGAGCAACACTTAATATTAATATTATTATGTCGCGATTATATTCTGATTTTACCCTTTGGCTATCATTAGATAGATATCAAATGATTTGTCTTCGCCTTTCGCGAAAAACTATTATGACTTCGATATTATTTTATTACGGGCATGGATAATTGCAAACATTCTATCCTTTCCTCTTTTCTAAGCACAACTGATGTGACACACTGGAATGCAAATCCATTTTGCCTTAACTTAATATTATGTTAGGGAAAAACCTTCACGTGTTACATTTTTAAGTTTTATAAGAAATATTAGATAATTCAGCTTCGGCACGTCGAGCATTGCAAAACGATGTGATACGATTTCTCTGTGCGTAATAAATTACACTGGAGGAGAGACCGTGAATGTAGAGAGAAACAATTCCAAAATCCTTTTTTTCACTATAGCTATTACAAAAGAATTACATGAACTTCTGTTCTCTACACTGAAAAAAAATTACTAAATTTTAATATATATCTATATATCTATATATCTTTGAATAATACCAGCAATAAGTAAACATTTACCTAGTAAATAAATATTTACTTGATGAAAAAAAAAAGTTAAATTGAATTAACGATTTTTATATCGAATAAATATATGTCTGCATTTAGTAAACATTTACTTAGAACTATTCAAACAAATATTTATTAAAATTTAATTTTTTTCAGAGTATAGAAAATAATTAGCAAATTGTGCAATGCATCTTAAGTACTATAATTAAATATCGATTCAAGTTGTGTAAAGATATCACAAGATAGAGAAATCAATTTTTTTTTCTATTTTATACAATCACATCCAAATAATTTTTTTTCTGTTTCTTTAAAATAGCATTTACTTTATTGCTTTTGATTTAGTCAATTAGTTAATTAAATTTCTTTTTCGGGAGATTAAATTTAATATATACATTTAAAAGTCAAAGGAGATGATTATATTGTAAAATAAACGTATATTAACTTCAAAATCTAAAATATCTTTAACTTGGCTATCAAATGAAATACTTTGTCGTGTCATTCGCTGTTTCCCTGATTTTTATCTCGTAAATTCTATTTTCTCTATGAAAATGACGAATATCCGCTCAAGTAAATGTCCGATAAAGTTGTTATTCTTATTCTTCGATATATAACTTCGCTACCTCTATTTCTAAACGCGCTTCGAAACGTACCGCTTTGTAAATCGCTATCGATTAACTAGCGACAAAATTACTGAAACGCTGGTCTATTGCGGACAATTCATCTTGCGGCACTTCTTGAATTCCACCAAGGTTGGACAAAGTTTGGCCCAGGCTCCTCTCGGTTTCACTGTCACACTTCTGACTCTGCTTCGTAACCCCTCATCGCAGATCGCACTGCACTTTGACCACGTTGACCACGGTGTTACTTCGCAATCCACTGTAACTTTACAAACGAAACGATGTGACAAATAAAATTTACGATTATCCTTCACTAAGAGAAAAATATATAGTGATAACAACTACACAAATTTTATATGTAGAAGTATGATATAAGTTAAATACAATTAATGTGTATAATTGAATAATACAATTAATGTATAGAAAGTTTTATACACATTACCATCCAGCGTCGGCTCATGTACGTATTGACTTGCATTTTTTACTTATTTTGATTTATTTCCTTATTATTTAAGATATTATTGAATAAAACTGTAATATTTTGTAGTTATTCATGTAACTATTAAATAGTTTATTCCATTATATAACGATACCTAATATCTTGTATTAATTTTATATAATATTAAATTTGTATAGTTGTCATCTATATAATTATCACTATTATATTTTTTCTCTAAGCTTTATTAAAATATTTTATCGAATATGTATCAAATTCGTCTCTCTAGCCAAATCAGTATCCAATAAATTTACTTGATCTATTGCGTTAACTCGTTCGACGGATATTTTACTCGTTCATGAATACATTTCATTGAAATGCTAGTTTTATTTGCTGAAACAATTCTCTCATACATACAGAGAAATTTAATATCGTTTGTATACTCGAAGCGTTAAATTTACCGCGTGTAAATTCAGTATTCTTTTATATGTAGAAGAAATAAAAAGCGGGAAATTCTGAAATAAATTCGAAATTCACAGAATTTCGCCAATTTTATTTATCCATTTGAAGTGACGTTTTGAAGCAACATAGTAGGACTTACTCTCGTGATCAATTCCGGTATTTTTGTCTCTATGAAATCGCCGACCTGTTCCATCACCCTGTAGAGCTACAAAATTAATTATGTTAATCTTTAATCGTAGAATTAATTAAAAAAAGAACTAAATTTTCAAATCTATAAAATATCCCGTTTTTACATGATAAAAACTTTAAAAATTTAGTAACATGAATACATCAAGAGCTTTCATAATTGTTTCATTTAATTAAATTAGTTTAGTGATAGATTAGAGAAAATAACACTTACAACACGGCGGAATCTTACGGCACTTCTTTCTTCGAAGAGTCTTCTTTGGACAGCTTTTACCTCCATTTTTGGCTGGAATCTACTTGCAAGAGAAATAAATTTTAGATTTACTATTCTTTTACAACATAGCAATTTAATTATTATTTAATTGTTCTGATTGTAGAATTTTTGTCAATAGTTATTTGTTTATTGAAACATCGTTGTATTTCTGCTCTGTGTTGTAAGCATTAAAAAATTTTAATAGACACATGAATAAATTTCTAACAATACCATAATTTGCCTTATGCTCATAGTATATCCACGACAGTTATCACAATGGGTCCATTTACTCCATTCGGAGACCTGACAGTCTACTTCGCCATTTTCATTCGATTCCATTATCTGACTGCTCGCTTCAATGCCTTTAAAATTCTCCTTTTCTGTAAAGAGGTACAAGATGATCGTCAGCGAAGCAGAAATTTCTATGCATTGCATTTCTCGACTAATGGTTATTAAATTCATTTTCTGTAAGAATATACGTGTTGTGTGTGTGTATTCATATGTGAATCTCTGTCATAAATATTGATTTAATATTAATGAGAAATGATTAATTTCTTGTATAAAGCAATTAATTATCACCGTGTTGTGCTCTTTTCGCTTTCGTATTGCGTTGCTCCTTAACGGGAATATGATAGCTGAGGACGCTGCTAAGAGACACCTTCAAGTTTTTCATAATTGTCGACATATTCGCCCTCAAATCTCCTGAATTTGTTAGTAAGCGTGTGCAAGATGTAACACAAATGATTATTTATGAAAAGACAGTTTATTGATAATGCAGAAGCGTTATATGTGATACAGATTAAAAGTTCAGATGACAAAAAAGCGTCTAATTTTGAAAACCTTAAAGGAATAAAACAAACTTAAATAATAATCTACTCTATTACAATCTTTTTTCTTGTATTAAGATAGTAATTATAATCAATATTTTTTTACACATATATATTAATATCTATTAATATTAATAATCTTTAGCATATTTTGAAGTATTTAATTGACCAATCAGAAGAAAGAAATATTTAATAATTTACTAATGGATCAGTTAGAGACTACTTTAGAGCATTAAGTAGACTGTGATCATATTTATACACAGTAAATTGAGAAATGGGAGAATTGTTACAGATATCGGAATTGCAATTGATAGAAAATTTTATTAGTATATATGTGTGGGGATCATAATTAACAATCTCATGATGCGTTATTATAAAACAGTGAATATAATACGGAAACAGATTAACTAACTTACTTTGAAAATTACTGCAAACTTTATTACAATCTTGTTCATTTGGGAAATTGTTTCGATTACCGCCGCATCCAGTGTAGAAGAAGTACTGACAACGACCCTTTTGTTTGTCGAAGTAGGTTCGTAATTCGTTTCTATTACAATGTCCTTTCTGCAGAGGTTCGCTACAAATTTCTAATTACAAATCTCTAATTAGTAGCTGTTATACAATAGTTATACAGATAATACAAAAGACACACGCATCTGTAGTAACGAAAATAAAACGCGTGACTAAAGTTATTAACTATTGGTTATTAAACATTTTAACAAAAATATATGAGATTATTTATATACGAATTTTACACGCTATTGACACATAAAATGCAACGAATCAAATATCATTAGAATTTTTTACACCGTCGCGACTTTTTCTTGCATCATACTGTCAAATAAATTAAAAAAGTTGACAGTCCACATTCTACGTACTTTCTGCCTCTTCCCTCGTGTAATTACAGCTCGAAATTTCGGCTATGCATGGCACCATCTGCATCTTGCACTTCTCGTCGTCCTTGTCCAATTCGTCTTTATACAATAATTGTCTGGATCTCATCTTGATGCCGGGTCCGCAACTGGCAGTGCATAGCGACCACGTGGACCATTCTGTATAGCGATCAGCAGGACATGTCTGCGGTAAAAAATAAACAATCGATTTATATAAAAAAAGGATAACTCGAGAAAGCTGTAGTAAGTAAATTCTTTTCTTTTCTGCCAAGCATTTGTGATAAATTTGAAAAATCTTTTAACCGAGCATTTCCATTGGATTGCAGGCTTCTTTTTTCTTTGAAAGTTGTTTAGCCATGCGCTGTATTGCATGAAAGTGACGTATATTAATTGTAATATCCGTATTAGACTAGAGATTGAGATTGAGATTTAGATTGATTTAACCAATTAAAAGAAACTAATATCAAATTTAGTGAACTTTGTTTTAATTGGTCAAATCAGCCTCAATCTCAATTACTAGTCTGATACGGGTATTAGAAAGTACGACAAAGAAATTTGCTCTTCTGAATGAGTATTGAAAAAGATTTGGAAATGCAAATTTTTTTATTCTTGCGTTTAATATAAATTTTTATTAATAGGAGCATTTTCTAAAGAAATGTTTCAGACAAAGTTTACTTGTTTTTCCCCATAGAATCCAAATATGTAACATTTTATAGGGAGTCCCATTTAACATTTTGAAGTTACCCCCCGTCCCTCTTTGAGGAGATGGATTTTTGTTTACATAGTTAGAAAGGCCCCTCGAATATATGAAACTTTCTCATGAACAACTTTCTGATAGGACAAATTTTTAGAGTTATGAGCTTGTAACACTACGTGGGCCACCTCGTATATGTCGTTTCTTTTCTCTTAGTGGTAAGAATAAATCACTTCAATAAGGAAAACAAGGAGCTGTATCTTTGATCGTAAAGCTATCGTGATACAAAAGCACTTGAAATGCATTTGTAATAATATTTAATAAAGAAAAGGAAGAAATTAATTCTTTTCGATACTTTTGGATCATTCAATGCGCTTTTGATCTTCGAAGCGCTTTGTATTTACCGCTCCTTGCATATTCTAATGGCAATCTATAAAAAAGAATATAATAACATTTTTCATATGCCGAGGTGCTAGATTTCCCTTGCTGATATCGCGTGACTTACGTGAGGGTGCCAGTGCCATGGATCTATGAGAAATTGTACAGATATCGATTACTCGTGCGAAGCTATCGCCGCTGGCTGCATGGTGATTTAATACTTAGCAAAGCTGCTGGATTCGTTGTAATAAATATCGAGCGGATCGTTTATCCAGTTTATGTTTCGTAGAGATACGAAATCCGCCTGATATCTATTCGATATAAAGTGTTAGTCGCATACGAGCCTTTCGACGAACTTGATTTCTCGAAGGACCAAATTGATCGAATATATTTTATTTGTTCAAATAAAACCTAGAAACCAAATAAATATCAATTTACAGACTAAATGTTGCTTGAAAATCAGATTCGATTCTATCAAAAAAATTAACGAAACCACTCGTACGTGAAAAAAATCTAAAGAAAATTAATAAACCAAAAGAAAACAAAAATATTTGACTTTAATTAAAAGCAAATTACATTAAAATATAATTTTAAAAAATTTAATTAAAAGCAAATGAAGCAGACTAAAAAAGCTTTGCGTCTTGATCCTTGAGGACGAAACAAGAGAATTATTTTGATTAATTCTTAATCGAGATTTCAACAAAAATTTAATATAAAACTCAAGAATATTTAATACAAAAGATTAATAAATTTTAAATAATAAACAAAAGAGGGCTGCGAGCCTAAAAAAGTTGATGTTTAATAATCTATCTTAGATATACAACAAACAAGAAGTAAACCAATAACGGTCAAAGCCACTAACGGTCAAAGCTGGATCACAAATGCTTATTAATCTGTATCTTAGATATACATATTAGATATACAGACGTTCCAACTCCGATTGGATCATTCTCAATATTAAAATTTATAATAAATTAACGGAAAAACAAGTGTTACATAAATCAAAAATAAATTGATATAAAATAATATAAAATTAACAGTATTTTCTAAACATGAATATTTGGTATCCACAGTTTGTAAATTAGTAACGTCATAAGTTGAAAATAGCAGTCATATAACATTTTTGAATTTATACATTGGATAATTCCTTTTCTTTATAATATGTATTGAGAAATATGGAGTAAATGCGGAAGAATTAAAAATAAAGCATACAATTGTTATAGCAGTACTATGTAGAATATTTCGCTTAACAATCATAGTAATGAATAGTAAGTTTAGCAATTGTAATTTAATATAATTTTGCACTTCGCGAATCAGCTTCGTTAGAAATCTCGTTTCCATTCGACTGCTTAGTCCCGATAGTCCCGATGAACGTTCTCATACCTGCAGCCATTTCTGTCCGTTTTCGTCTGCCATCTCACCGGTTTGAGCCTCATCCTCATCATCGTTGTCCAAATGATTCAATCGTTGCCTTACCTCCTCGGTATCCTCGCCATCGCAAGGTTTTCCGCACTCGATCGTCTGCTGGAGTTGCGGCCCATTCGGCACGGCTCTGCACTGTTTCCGATGCTTCTTCTGCCGGAAGTTTCTGTTTCGGGTCATGAAACCATCGCCACAACTCGACGAACATGGACTCCACGCGGTCCACTCGGTTAATTCGCATAGGTTGCTTTCCAACAGTTCGTCGTCACGACCGTTATTGATGCTGGTAAATTACACGTGTAATTATTTCACGGTATAAATTTAAGCAGTGTAACAATTGTCACGATAACATAAAAATGGTACTAATGTGATTGAAAAGTGACTTTCACTATAATCATTTTGTAGTCATTTTGATGTTAAAAATTTTTTTCAAAATTTTTATATAAAATTCGGAATTCTTCAACATTTCTGAATAATTTTATATCTTTTTAGAAAATTTCTGAGATTTTTTTGTTCGAATTGAAACACTTTTCAGAAGTGCCGAAAACGTTTATACAATCTTTAGATTTCCTGGAGTGAAATATCAATCCAAAAGAGTGAAAATACTGCTATTATCGAAAGGAATGAAAATATTTGCGCTCTTGAATAAGAGTGGCAGATTTACACTCCTTTTTTTAGGAGTGAGATTTCATTCTTTTAGAATGAGATTTACTTTAAAAGACAGAAATCTCATTCTTTTAAAAAGAGAGAGATGAAAAGCGAATTAGAAAAATTAACAAGAAGTGGAGCTTTACGATAGATAATGAACAAAATTTTTTAAATGATATATAGAAAAAATTGAGAGAGAGAGAGAGGAAAGAGGAAAGAATTCATCAGTAAATAAGGAATTTCGAAAAATTTTATAAACTAGTTTTTATCGCAAGATTAGAAATAGATGCATTACCAATACGGGCTTTGTGCATTGTAGCAGTTTCTTCGATCTGTGAGAAACGTGTTGCATCTGTTCGCCATAGCCGCATCTACGTCGTGAAAAAGACGTTGTCTCAGCTGAAAGCCTCTGCCACAGGTGACCGAACATTGAGACCACTCGCTCCAAGACGTCACTTTACAGGCTTCTACATACAAAAAACATCGATTATCTTTTTAGATATTTCACATTAAAACTACATGCACATTAAAACCTGAATTTCATAATTAATGCACTTAAAACAAAAAATACGTTGTACTATTAGTAATGACAATTTACGTACAGCAGATTTATCATGCAATGTCTATCCACAGAATGAAAAGCAAATAATATGTCGCGAAGCGAAAAATATGTAGGTAGACAAATTACGCAAGGTAAAAGCAAACAGACACTCGCATCCAGACTTAACCCGTTTTAAAACAGTTCTCGCATGAACTATTTAGGGAATAATTATGCAGATCTGCACATGATGTAGAGATGATAAATATTACTTTAATCGTTCAACTTCGCGGAAACTCGTTTACGAGTTTTAGTGTTTCAAAACTGGTGTTTAATTTTGCATTTTTTTTTCTCTTCGGTTGAGATATAAATTTTTTACATCGCCGAGAGAGCTGCGGGTCAGAGCTGCGCTGCTTTAAAATTTTCAAGTAATACAATTAACTATGGTAAATTCTCTACGAGCACATTTCTTCAAATGATATTTTTTGTTTTATTTTTTATACACTGTACCTGTAATAGTCTGCGTATCGTCTGCATCATCGCAGGTCTTCTCATACAGTCTTTGTCTGTTGAGATAGAGCTTGGCGAGTGGTTTCATATCTAGACTAGATGGATCGTAGAAAGGCGATCTTGAGTCATTCGGATGTGTCGATGTGATACGTTGAATCGGAATCTGTGGATCCGTCGGCGAATCGGGCGACTAGTAATTAATACGAGGGAAATAAATATTATTTAACAATGTAATTATAAATATTTGTTATAAGACATCATTTTTTGGTATAAATTTCTTAAAATGTTTTCTTCGTTGAAGGAAAAACTTTTTTATAGCTTTATTCCTCTTAAAATTTTTTTCCATCTGATATTTTTATTCGATCTTATTATAATAACAAATAGATCCGCTGTTGTAAGAAACGTATTAACAAATTTTTGCTATTAATGCATGAGAAAAAATTTTTTGCAAGAAAAGTAAAAGAAGTTAGAAGAAAGAAAATTCTCACTCGTTGGAAAAATGCCGAGGGAGCAACAACGTCAGCGATTTTTGTTGCATACTACGAGGGTGGCTATTGTGAACTGATAGAATTAAGGTATTCTCTCGCATGAGGGGTTATTATACAATCCCTCAACGCTGACGTTTGACGTATCTTTTTTTTCCAAATAGCTCTTCACCCGCTAGGTAAAATACAAATCAGCCGTGCATATCTTGATGCGGGCTCTTTGGAAATTTTAAATCAATTTTTTCTTTATAAAATATGCTTAAATACCTGTCAATCATAAATTAAATAAGAAATTGAAAATAAAAGTTGACATTTGTTTACTTTACCACGTATGTAATTCCGTCGTCAGTGCCAGCATCGTAAGGATAGAGATTCAATTGCTTGTGTTCTACCCAAGAACAATTAGGCAAGCACAGCTCGAGTCCAGATACGCCTACAAACCAATCTGGTGATGGATCAATCATAGAAACTAATGACATTAAATGATGCTTCTTATCAACTCGAAACACAGCAAACGTTTTGCCCGTGACGTTTGGATAACTTATGCCTCTTGCTTTGATTATAGTCCTTATGTGTTCGCTCTGTAACAAACAGTAAATGAATAGCTCCAGCAATAAATGTTCATAATTTATATGTATCTGTACGTTTATATCTAAATAAATATTTTTATGTCTCCCCCCTAATAAATATATTTACGAAGAATTATTTTTGGGTTTCCGACAAGTTTCTGAAACTTTCAAAGAACAATATAATCTCTATAACTTTCAGAATTAATTCTTTCTAATTAATTACAATGTGTGTGTCCATGATGAAAATAATTAGAGTTTGAAATCAATTTGGAAATCAGTGCTAAGATAAGTGATAACGCACCGCGCGCTTAAGAGTACGAATTAAGCTTTATGGCACAACTATTAGATTGCAGCAGCTGTAACTCACACTGCAGAACGTGCCTTTCTGGTTAGCTAATCTGTGTATAAAGAGTAGTTGAGATCGTTGCAGCGATGAAAAAAGATATTAATTTTTATGGTTTTAATCATTTTGTTATTATATTTGTCACGAATTAATTGATCGGTTTTTACATTAAATTGTTACATTGTTTTATATTAAATTGTAAAAAGAAAATGACTCCAAATCAAATCACACTGCGGACTACAAATGGTTAATATAAATTAATCTATGATTCTGTAATTTATTTTAGTGAAATATTCAATTTTTTGTATTTATCTCTTTATATTTTGTAACAGCATATTAATGGAATTGTAATATAAATTAAATATCGGAAACACACTACAAGATAATTTATTTGAACAGAAAGAAATTAATTTATTTTAAACTTTCCGAAATAGGACAAAATGGATTAAAAGCTTTTATATAGCTCATCTTCAAGAGTGTATTTTTTCAACAATTTTATATGTATTGTATATTGCATCTCTTACCTGAGCCTTTAACTCGGATTCTAACTTCCGTGTTGCACCGAACTCAGCCACTTGTCTTAGTCCATCACTAGCCATGCTGTTGTAGCTCCAGAATCGGTAAGGGCCAGTGTGCGATGCACCGATCACATCTGAAAATCGGATCAGCCAACCCTTGCTAGGGAAATCCTATAGGATAGAATAATGAATGAACGACGATTAATCTGATGTCGATCGTGTAAAGGGTTCTCACAAATGATTTGGTTGTGATTCCAAATATACTGAATATACAAACAAATATATTATTTATAAGTTCTATTTTTAGGTACTTAAAAAACATTATATCCAAGTAATCTACTTTTAACTCTTTCACCAATAAATATGATATATTTTTCTTATATAAACTCGCATAAATTCTGTATGAAATTTTTATTTGTTGCCAATTGTTTACATACTTTTGGATGTGTATTTCTTGACCATAGGCCTTCGAATGTAACTTCAAATTTTGCCTCGTCGCAGGCACAGCATTCCTCAAGAACCGGACCCTGATCATCAGCTTCTGCTTTTGAATCTTGGCATATGTTAAGAATTAAATTTGAGTCATCCATGTACCACGTATCCACTGTCTCCAGTACTGTCGCTCTGCAAAAAAAGAAGATGTAGTCAAATATTATAGGTACCGAGAATGTGTATCATATAAAAGATTTTATTATCAAACAATGCAACGTAAAAATATAAAATGAAACAAAATAGATAATCTTTCGGAAAAGAAGTTAAATTTCATATAATCATATCATCATGTACAATATTTATATTTATTTAAATAACGTACTTATGTAACAAGAAATATATTATTGATATATTTAAATCCATTTTAAAGGTAAATAAAGGCGTAATAAATATTACAATAAATATCATTTTCATCACTTTATACTTGATTTTAAGTAAAATCCTTTAATATAAATACTGTATGCAGTAAAATGTTATAACGCTACAAAATTTGACGCATAAATAAAATATAGTATTATAGCTAAAGGCATTTTATACATATTTAATCATATATGCAAATACATATTTAAATATTATAAAAATTTATTACCTTCTGAATCGGTGCATTTATCGTAAAAGTTATACATTACTACTATGTAATTTCTTTTGAATGTCGCAAAATAAATATGTTTTTATTTTTCTGCATATTTAAAAGCGTGTATACAAGTTTTATATGCGTATTAATAATAAAACGATATTATAATATTGGCATTTTATTTATAATAAAAGTTGTGTTGAAATTTATTTAACTTAAACTGTTATATCGTACAAATATCGCGAAATAAACCATTTTTAATAAGATGTCGCTTCACCTGAGAAGGATGCAACCGCTACCTTCGGCAGGACTGGTCCAAACAATAGAAACTTTTTCCTTTTGCATCATGGATGTCTCCACGACAGCATTCGCGCAATTATCCGCGAATTTGGTTATCGCATCGTCCTGAAGATCGAAAATGCCGACATCAACTGTATCATTCGCGGTTTCGGCCTCGGCTGATATGAGGAATCTCGTAAACTTCCGGTGCATCTGCTCGGAACTGTCGGCTTGCAGGACCACTGAAATAATCGACAATCTTTATTCGGTATGCCCGCATTGCATTCCGTTCTATGAGTATGACTGTGAAATATTTTGTATATGGACGCGATACAATTTTGTGTATAAAAAAATAATGTTTATGGATTTATTCGTAATAATGTTTACACAAACACACACACGCGTGTGTGTGTGGGTAAAACAGATATATTTTTTTTATATCATAATGTGGGATTTAAATGTTCAGAAAAAAATTAGGTAAGAAAAATTCTATTTGCATACGTCCATCAAAAAACGCATGCAAAACGGCAACATTTTAATATCCATATATATTACAACTTTTATTAAATTTATTTTGATACGATGTAAAACATGAATAATTAAAACATCAGAACAAGTGTAATAAAAATTGCGATGTGTATATTAAATATTTTTTGCGTTCGTTTTTTAATGTTTTTTAACGTACGCAATTGTAATCTTTTTATTTCTTTTTTTTCTGAGAAAGTAATTTTTTTAATTTCAGTTACGTTTGCAAAATTATTAATTTATTGATAACCAAGCAAAAATTGTGAAAAAAACTAACACAAGAGCAAATTGCAACAGTTTTTCGAATAAGTTTCCTTCAAAACATTTATCTCATATGTACATTGTGTATATACATGGTTCTCACAAACACACACACATATACACCTTACGTATTTGTTGATAGACAAACAGAAATCGCCAGTTCGAACAATTCGGCTGTTATTTTTCCCCGTTATAATCATTCAGAAACGAAGTAGCTCAGATAAATTCTACAGAAAGATATATACACTGCAGTAACAATTTTTCCAAAAATTTAGTCTCACAAGTACGTAAATAATATAGCAATAAATAATACTTCCATTACTGACGTTCTGGAATGTATTTGTACTTTATGCAATTCGAGACACAAAAAATATAAATTTATTCGATTATTTATTTTTATTTTCTTTCTGCTTCATCTATTTATAATCGCTGTTGAAAGCAATGATTTTGCGCAACATATCGCGAGATACGTACCAGATACGCGATTATTGTTAATACTTTTGCAAATTACACATTTTATTTTACATACTTTGACGCGCAGAAAGAAAAACAGGAATTGCATGCGCGTATCGAGCTGGTGTTGATGCAGCATCAAAGAAGAGATATTTAGAAAAATGGAAAATTCACGGAGTGAATAATCCGAGGATGCTGAATTGCTGTGCGTATAATATAGAGTTGATTACCTAGCATGTACGTTGGCGTTTAATCAGTGGTCAATATATATGGAACGTTGGCGTTTATATAAGCGTTGGATTGATATGACGAAGCCATCACAGTCGTTCGTGTACCGAAACGTAACGGGGAAGATAAATGACATTATCGTATTAAAATATTTAGAAAATTTTTTCAAAAAATACACGCGTCCTTGAGATCAATTTTCCTCAAGAATTCGCGGCGCTTGATACGATACCTAATTTAATAAATCTAAAATGTATTATACAGAAGATGTTACAAAAGTACCAATGTGGTTCGTGTTTACAGGGAACCTGATTTCAACGAAACATTTATTTTTATATTTTATGTAGAGGGGGTTACAGACACGAATTTGTGTTCTCTAATTGTATGAAATTTAATGAAGATGTTAATATTAGGTATATCATATCATTTTATTTAATGTTACATCGAACTTTCATTTGGCAAGTTATGAGACAGTAAAAATCTTGACAAGATTAATGAGAAATAAATACGGGATAAATTTTAATCACACTACCTTTCTACAGAATGAAAATGAATTTACAGAGTCTAATATAGCAAACTGTTTTCCGAGTATAACATGGAGCATATTCCATAATAATTATTATATAATCCTGCTATTTCTATATAATATCTGATTTATTTCCTAATTTTCATCTTCCTAAAGTGATTTTTTTTATACCTATGATTATAATAGTTCTTCCTAAGTTAAAATAAGATCCGCCTATTGCGACACTCATTGCTATATTTATAAAATTATATGATGTCAATATGGCCATTTAGAGGTTCCAACTTCACAAAGCAGCTCTGTGAAGTTGGCACCCCTAAATGCGAATATTGGTAAAATCATTATTGCATTCGTTTGTCCATTGTTTGTCCACGTTTGTCCACCCATTATTTTCGTTTGTCCACCCTATGTTTATTATATTTTTCGTAATAGTGTAAAATAACCACTTGGGGGTGTTACAATTTTTTTTGTGTATAACTTTTTTTTGGAGGGTGGATAAATGAAAATAACGGGCGGACAAACGTGGACAAACAGTGGACAAACGAATGTAATAATGATATTTCCAATATTTGCATTTACAGATTCCAACTTTACAGAGCTGCTCTGTGTAGTTGGCTCCCCTAAATGCGAATTTTGATAAAATCATTATTGCATTCGTTTGTCCACTGTTCGTCCACATTTGTCCACCCATTATTTTCGTTTGTCCATCCTATGTTTATTATATTTTTCGTAATAGTGTAAAATAACCACTTGGGGGTGTTACAATTTTTTTTTGTGCATAACTTTTTTTTGGAGGGTGGACAAATGAAAATAACGGTTGGACAAACGTGGACAAACAGTGGACAAACGAATGCAATAATTATTTTACCAATATTCGCATTTAGGTGTTCCAACTTCACAAAGCAGCTCTGTGAAGTTGGCACCCCTAAATGCGAATATTGGTAATATCATTATTGCATTCGTTTGTCCACTGTTTGTCCACGTTTGTCCACCCGTTATTTTCGTTTGTCCACCCTATGTTTATAATATTTTTCGTAATAGTGTAAAATAATCACTTGGGGGTGTTACAATTTTTTTTTGTGTATAACCTTTTTTTGCGGGGTAGATCAAAGAAAATAACGGGTGGACAAACAGTGGACAAACGAATGTAATAATGATATTTCCAATATTTGCATTTACAGATTCCAACTTTACAGAGCTGCTCTGTGTAGTTGGCTCCCCTAAATGCGAATTTTGATAAAATCATTATTGCATTCGTTTGTCCACTGTTTGTCCACGTTTGTCCACCCGTTATTTTCATTTGTTCACCCTCCAAAATAAAGTTATGCATTAAAAAAAATTGTAACACCCCCAAGTGATTATTTTACATTATTACGAAAAATATAATAAAAATAGGGTGGACAAATGAAAATAATGGGTGGACAATCACGTGCGCGTTGTGGACAAACGATACCCGTACATAATTATGAAAAATTATCACTTGGGGATGTTACAATTTTTTTTTGTGTATAACCTTTTTTGCGGAGTGGACCAAAGAAAATAACGGGTGGACAAACGTGGACAAACAGTGGACAAACGAATGCAATAATGATATTACCAATATTCGCATTTAGGGGTGCCAACTTCACAGAGCGCTACGCGCGGAATTCTTTTTTTTTTTGAACGACTATATAATTTTCTCTTACAAAATTTACACCAAAGCATAGTCGATTAAGCTTTAAATTATAATTACATTTCTTTGCGTCTTATTAAATTCGTCATATTCGGAAAATCTTATTGATTTGCGCAACATATTGAATTTAAAAATTTGGAACACGGAATCAAAATCAGCGTTCGCGGTAACCCCCATTTACCTAATTTCGCTGAAATTTTTAAATTTTTATGTATTTCGAAACACTTTCGTCCGCCATTTTGGATTAACCATTTGGAATTTCCTAATTTTGATCACAGATTCGAAATCAGCGTCCGCGTAAGCCCCCTTAATTCAAATTTCGCCGAAATTTTTAAATTTTTATGTATTTCGCAACACTTTCCGTCCGCCATTTTGAATCAGCCATTTGGATTTTCCTAATTTTGATCACGGATTCGAAATCAGCGTCCGCGTAAGCCCCCTTAATCCAAATTTCGCCGAAATCGGAAAACTTTTAAGATTTTCGCATCTTTTCCGTCCGCCATATTGGATAAGTCTTTTTTAATTATCATAATTTTTACCATGTTTTTAAAAGAGCGTCCCCGAAAATTCCTTGTTACCGAAATTCACCATTTTCGGATTACTTTAACTGCCTCAACGAATAGAGGCTTCAAAAAAGCGTGACACGCCAATTTTAAGATATGATGATGATGATGATAAATATAACCGAATATAATTGTTCAAAATGTATAACAAATATTAAAGAGCATTTTAGACAGTAAATTTTTTGAAGTATACACTTATTTTACAAAACATTTTTTTTAATTAAACAGAAAACATTATATGCTCCGTGCCTGCGTATATGTATCATATTTAGCATAAGCGGTATATAATATTTTTTTATAGTATATATATATATATATATCATAATAACGTCTTGATTTTTTAAATAATATTCTCTATACATTATCGTAATTAAATAGCAAATAAGTGAATTACTGCTACGAATTGCTATGGACATAATTTTCAGCGTAATCAATCGTATCTATAAGAATATCCTAATTCCGATCGAATATAAGGAAACGCTCAGAACTTTGGTTTTGTTCGCCTATACTTCGTAATTGATTGCGAGCGAAAACAAAATTCTGCATCTCCTCTTCCGGAAGGAAAAGCGATTGAGGAAAAACTTTTAGTACGGGGTATGAAAAACAGTCAAGTTCGACAGAGAAAACGTCGCACCCAGTTTTTCGATGCATCGAAATATTAATTTAATTCTGAAAAATACAGAGAATAGTGCATATTTTGAAAAAATAGATGTACTAAATTTAATGTTTTGTAAAATTATAATCAATTTATCTTCCGTCTGCTGACTCCTCCTCTGCAATTCTTCTCTTTCTCTCTATTTCTTTTTCCTTAAAAAAGCTCCAATAAGAACCGTAGTTATTAATGTCTAATATTTCTTATTGCACGAAAAATATTGCACTTGCATGAATATATATATCGACTTATAGATTTTCTATGTGTCGAAGGAATATTCGCGTTCTCGGAATAGAAACATGTATCCAGCTCGGGTACCGACCCGCTATTTATAGCATGGATTAAACACGATACACCGTGAATCCGCT